TGTCCCTAATGTCCATTGTAATTGGGTTTGTTGAAGTAGATCTATGAAGATAATGACTACATTTTGAACAACCTTTATTCCTTTCTGGCTTTCACCAATATATATGTTCAATAAGTCCTATGAGTAAATGGATTTATCAGGAGCAACTGAAATGATCTTAAAAACTGATCCATAGATTAAAAGGCAAAGAGTTCGTATTGTAACTGAAAGACAGAATTATTTAACGTATATATCCAGTTTAGGTCCTGTTTTGGGTGTTAATGTTTTTCAGTTTATCAACCTTATCAATCAATTTATAACTTTTGATCTCACAGCTCTGTATTGTGTGAATAAAAATAAATAAAGTTGACGATACTTTCAATTAGATTTCACCTTAATTATATGAATTATTTATGTCCCAAATTTTAGATGTTTTGTTGCTAATCATAAAAATTTGGCCTTTTGTAATCCTCTCTCAGTCCCACTTAAAGGTCCCTACACGATTTATAGGGACATTTGATTGACCATAATGTTAACAAATTCCTATAAAAAATAATATATATTTTACTAAATAAAAGTTACTCCCTCCGTCCCATTTATATTGTCCTGTTTTACCTTTTCGAGAAGTCTCACTTAAATTGTCTCATACCATATTTGGCAAAGTTTGTGTGGCTCTAAATCATTCTTACTCTATTCTTACTTTATCAATTAATATCAACCACACAAACCCACTTTTCTTAATAACCGTGCCACCCTCTTCCGTCCCAATATAAATGGTAAGGAGGTAGTACATTTTAATAAACTACATTAAAAGTGCTATAAAGTGTCAATACGTACAAACTCAAATTTCATATGTTCAAAAAAGAAAAACTCAAATTTGATAAAAGTAAGACATAATATGTAATACGCATATCTTTATTAACAGAAGATATTAAATAATGAAAAAGTACCAACATATTTTACTTCAAAAGAAAAAATTCTAATATGTTTTCATCTTATTTAAAGACCGTTTGGCAACACTGTTTTTTGGCTTATCAGGCTTATTGGACATCTTTTTCACCAAACACGAAACGTTTGCTTTCGCGCACTGAATTGTGTAATAAGCAGAAAAAGTAAGGTTGGAGTTACTTTTCTGGCTGTATTGACTGAAGTCACTGTAGATGATCATTTTAGTTATTTCTACATATAATTTTTTCTTTATTTTATTAATAAAATATATTTGAAAATTAATTTTTTCTTAAATCAGCAGAATCAGCCAATACATCCACTTCAGCAAAAATTTCATAAATTTTATCAGAATCCGTCAAAACAGCCGATTTTGATGCTACCAAACAGGCTTTTAGGATGTTTTCTTTTAAACTGAAATTTGGTGGTCTGGTCTGGTCTGGTCTGATCTGATCTGGTCTGGTCTGCTCTGGTAAACTTCTGGTCTATGTGTATTTTATAACTACAAAAGTCTGGTCTGGTCTGGTCTGATCAGGTCTGGTCTGGGACTGAAAACAGTTCAAAAGAAAACATCACTATTCAACTTTGTTATGTTCTACTCCATATTAAATTAAAAGTGCTCCGTGTGATTTATTCTAAATTTGAAAGCAATATACAGAGTAATTAAAAACATAATTCAACTTTGTTATGTTCTACTCCGTATTAAATTAAGTGCTCCGTGTGATTTATTCTAAATTTTAAAGCAGTATACAGAGTAATTAAAAACGTAATTTTAGCATACTTCTTTAATAAAACACGAGCCTCACTTTTATTCTAAAAGTGACTAAAAATCAAAGGAGTACTGTACTAGGGTTTACCACTTTAGCCGCAGCAGCAGCTTGAGAAAAAAAAACAGTACTTCGCCATTCTTTTCAGCAAAAAATTAAACCATGGCCAACCAAAAGAAAGACAGGGACTCAGATGTACAAATGAAATGATAAAGTTTTACCATGGCTGGTGCACGTTTGGGTCTCAAGGTTATGTTTTTTATCTTACTAAAAAGTTTGACTCTTAGTTGTTAGGTTAACATCTTATGTATACACTCTGTAGGGTTGCACTTTGATCACAATCCAACAAAATATCTCTTTCAATCATCTCAAAACAATACCTAAAATTTCGAACAGATAGATTACTTACTACGAAGTGCTTAATTTAAGTTCGTGCTTGACACTACAAAAAAACATCGAAATAGGCACGGACTTGGCACGGATTGGGCGAGTTTGGCACGGACTGTAACTTATTTTTGGCACAGCGCCGTGCCAAATAGATGGTGACAAAACGACTTTGACACGGAATTTGGCACGGATTTAACGCATTCGTGCCAAATCTGTGCCAAATACCCTACGAATTTTGGCATATCCGTGCCAAAGCTCCATGTCAAATCTGTGCCGAAATCGTTGTTTTTTTGTAGTGTGATAATTCTAACCGAACCACACAAATTTAACAGGCTGATTACAAACTTCCAATTATGTATGGTTTCATTTGATATTTGTGCAAACATACACAAAGTTACTCTAAAACAAAATATCAAGAGTCAAAAGACGTTAAAAACTTATAGGATTTTACCAACCAAGGTCTCATAGTTTAACATTATATTTTTAGAGTATGACTTTAGTATTTATATTGAAGAATGGAGTGATGAACATCATTAGCACTATTGAAAGAAAATTTATTGAATCCAATGTTAAGACCAAGTGATATTATTATTTGTCTCTTAAAGGAATCAAATTTCTTGCAGATTTACATAATTGCATGTCATATATGATATAAACACATAACTTCAGAAGAGCAGGCTAATACCCCGTCTATTTAATGGAGATCTTGATTCTAGCATTAACATGTTGGTGCAGTTATTTTCAATAATTTATTGAACTATTTCACTTCCCAATTAATTTTTTGAGCTGTAAATTTCTGAATACTTTATGAAAAACACTCTCACAAAATATATTTAAAAAATCACCCAAAAACCACCTCAAATGGGTGCATTTTAGACGGCGGATCCATTAAGAGAGTCCAAACCAGAATTTTAAGTATGATTTATTCAATCATTCTTTTTTTTTTTATATTCAATCATTCAAGAATATATATATATATATATATATATATATATATATATATATATATTGTGCAATTTTTTTTAGCAATTTTGTTACTTACCCACACAGACGTTAGAACACAAATAAATACCACCAGTACAACTATAGACTTCTACCAATCTTATTTAAGAAATTGGTCAAAACAGGTGTAATCCAACACAAAAAAAAGTAAATAAGACTAAGTACCGCTTTCTTACTTTCCCCAACAAATAGTGCACTTTGTTATTTATATTCAAATTAGACTGGAATATATTTTACATAATCGCAAAATGAATCTTCTAACTAAAAAATTGTAGCAGTTTAGTTTTGTTATTTTCTAATATGTTTGCATTGCAGAGCACGAATAAAAATGGATGCAGCGGAAGTACGTCGCAAAAGAAAATCCATTCTACATGCAAGAGAAGTAATAAGGGACAACAATGAAGAATTAAATAAGGGTATAAACAAAATTTTATTTTCTTATTAAATACTTTCGTACCTTCATTTCACATTTTTTGTGAATGCAGTAACAAATGTAGTTACAAGGGAATCCATAGGAACTACTGCATTGCTAGACAACACAAGTTCTTCCCTCATTAGAAGGTAAATGATTGCTCGATTATCATCTACAAACTATTGGATTAATATAATAATACTATAACTCTTAAGTGTTCATAACATATTTACTCAAAACATGCATAAAAGGAACGAGGCGACAAGAGCACGTCTCAGAAGGAGATATTTTCTAGATGAAAGAAGGAGAGGTAAATTCATAAACGCAATCAACAAGACATATCTAACCAAGTCCAACTACAAAATATCTACCTCCTGCTGTATTCTACATTGCTATATACAATTAATATTCAAATCATTTCAACTTTTAAGGTTTCTGTACAAACAAGAGCGTCGAAGGTTCTTCACAAGATGTAGATACCAAAGGCAAAAAAAGTGTAGGGACATGAAACGAAATTGGGCTGCCAAACTATGGTACAAATAACCAGTTATTACATGCATGTTTTATTGTAACATTTGTTCTATTTAACTATTTCCTATTCCAATTACTAAATTTACTATTTATTTTTATAACCACACAGCAGAGTACTATTATACTCCTGCCCTTCACACAAGTGTCAATGCAAATACCATGGACACTTCAGCAGGCCATTACCTTCCACTCTCTAACATCACAAATATCATATTAAACGGAAGGTAATTTATAACATAAAATTACAGCTTCATATAAGACTTATAAATAAAAATTAAAATAAATTTATTTTTTATCATATTCTTACGTTTTCACAGTGGGAGCAACCAAACAGCAAAAGGGGATGCGACTAAAGAATCACATTCCAAAAGAAGATCTTCTTTACAAGAAAAACATGGATACCAATTTCAAAGGGGAGGTATACAAAAATACATATGCAGTCAACTGTGAAACACTGATATTCTATTTCGTTGTGTATATTATGAGACTCATATATGATAATACAATTATATGATATTTATAGAATATTAAAAATTATTACAAATTTGGGCACACATGCATACAAATGTATGCTTTTTAACACATATTAATAAACGATAATAAATTGGATATACTTTGAAAATACTTTTTTCCTCAACTAACATGTTCATGGAATAGTGAAATCATATTAGCTTTATACACATGTTTATCACATTTATTCAATATTAAATCTTATTAGCTTTTCATATAGCATGCACTATTCGAGATCAGCATTCTCATACAAATGTCGCTGCTAACAAAGCAGCGAGAACCACGACAAATGCAATCTCGAATGGTCCTTATATCAACACACAATTAAGTACTGCATTGCTAGACCACACAAGTTCTTCCCTCATTAAAAGGTAAATGATCGCTCGATTATCATCTACAAACTATTGTTTAAATATAATAATACTATAACTCTCAAGTGTTTATAACATGTTTACTCAAAACATAAAAGGAACGAGGCAGCAAGAGCACGTCTCAGAAGGAGATATATTCTAGATGAAAGAAGGAGAGGTAAATTCATAGTCGCAATCAACAAGACATATCTAACTAAGTCCAACTACAAAATATCTACCTCCTGCTATATTCTACATTGCTATATACAAGTAATATTCAAATCATTTTAACTTTTAAGGTTTCCGTACAAACAAGAGCGTCGAAGGTTCTTCACAAGATGTAGATACCAAAGGCAAAAAAAGTGTAGGGACATCAAACGAAAGTGGGCTGCCAAACTATGGTACAAATAACCAGTTATTACATGCATGTTTTATTATAACATTTGTTCTATTTAACTATTTCCTATGCCAATTACTAAATTTACTATTTATTTTTATAACCACACAGCAGAGTACTGTTATACTCCTGCCCTTCACACAAGTGTCGATGCAAATACCATGGACACTTCAGCAGGCCATTACCTTCCACTCTCTAACATCACAAAAATCATATTAAACGGAAGGTAATTAATAACACAAAATTACAGCTTCATATAAGACTTATAAATAAAAATTAAATTAAATTTAATTTTTATCATATTCTTACGTTTTCACAGTGGGAGCAACCAAACAGCCAAAGGGGATGCGACTAAAGAATCACATTCCAAAAGAAGATCTTCTTTACAAGAAAAACATGGATACCAATTTCAAAGTGGAGGTATACAAAAAAACATATGCAGTCAACTGCGAAACACTGATATTCTATTTAGCTGTGTATATTGTGAAACTCATATATGATAATACAATTATATGATATTTATAGAATATTAAAAATATATTACAAATTTGAGCACAAATGCATACAAATGTTTGCTTTTGAACACATATTCGTAAACGATAATAAATTGGATATACTTTGATAATACTTTTTTCATCAACTAACATGTTCATGGGATAGCGAAATCATATTAGTTTTATATACATGTTAATCATATTTATTCAATATTAAATCTTTTTAGCTTTTGATACAGCATGCACTATTCGAGATCAGCATTCTCATACAAATGTCGCTGCTAACAAACAAGCGGGAACCTCAACAAATGCAATCTCGAGTGGCCCTTACTTCAACACACAATTAAGTGTGCTCCAAAATCAACCAAAGAGAAAAAGAATAGCCACCAATTTGGATTCTTTGGGTGTGAATCTATTGACCAAATTTTCAGAGGATGCTCTTATGTTTGACAATGAAGTTGATGGGCATAATCCTTGCAAAACAATTTCACCATCATCAGCTCAAGGCACATGTTACACGAACCAAACTCAAGCATTAAATTCAAATCAAAGTGTGAGCATACATGAAACATATGATCCACAAGTAAATCAAGAAATTGATTCTGATAGTGATATTGATCAATTCGAAGGTAAATGATAAGTTTTTATCATCACTATAACTAACACCACAATAATTTCATATACTTATTGAGCATTATTTTCAAACAGGTTTAGCTCCCGATGATGACATCAGTTCAAGTGAAGAGTTACCCGATACTCATGAAAACACTACAGAATTTAATTTGGGTCAAGGTATTAATTAAATAATTTAATATAATTTAACTCATACTAACCACTGTGTAATATTTATATTAAATTTAAATTCTTTCTAGGATACTTTGATATTGGAGATCCACTTATTCAGTGCGACAAATGCAAGGCATGCATGTGGTATCAAGAAAGAACTGACAAACATAGAGACACTGTGTCACCAAAGTATAATCTTTGTTGTAGAAAGGGAAAAGTTCAATTGCCACTGCTTAAGGATCCCCCTATGCTTCTCCAGCATCTTTTATTTGATAACGATGTTGATAGCAAAAACTATCAACAACATATTAGAGTGTACAATATGATGTTTGCATTCACATCGCCTGGTGCAAGAATTGACAAGTCCGTCAACGATGGTCGAGGCCCGCCGACATTCAAAATACAGGGCCAAACATGCCATCGAGTGGGAAGCATGTTACCTATGCCAGGTCAACATCCAAAGTTTGCTCAGTTATACATATATGATACTGAGCATGAGATAGAAAACAGGATTCGAGGAATAAGGTTAGCATATGCATTAATTTTATCAACATACACTACATACAAATTTATTAAATTATTACTTCTCATTATATGTGATTATTCAATTAAATTTGATGTCTTTTGTAGAAATCGAAATGACATAAATGAAGAGATTGTGTGCAAATTATCAGCGATGCTACACCAATACAATGTGCACGCAAAATCATTTAGGATGGCTAAGGAAAGATTGCAAGATGCACCTGTGCGAGATCTACGACTAAAGTTGATTTCTGACAGAGTTAGCGATGGTCGAGTATATAATCTGCCAACGGTTTCAGAAGTTGCTGCTCTTATTGTTGGAGATGTTAACACTTCATCAAAAAGGGACATAATAATGGAGACGCGAAGTCGTACACTTCAGCGAATCAGTGAATTGCATACTAGCTATTTGAGTTATCAATATCCTCTTTTATTTCCTTATGGTGAGGATGGATATAGGCATGACGTGCTTCATAGAGATACAGGTAATTCTAATAGTTCTAAAAGAAACCGTCTTACCATAAGGGAGTGGCTTTGTTTTAGACTCCAAACCAGAAAAAAAGAAGCACTCACATTGTTGAGATCAAGAAGATTATTTCAACAGTTTGTGGTTGACGGATATGCTATGCTTGAGTCAGAGAGGTTATCTTTTATAAGGAGAAACCAAAAAAAGCTAAGAGTTGATAAATACAGTAACCTCACTCAACCAAATAACGACTTACAATGTCAAGGATCTGAAAAGGGAAAAAGAATTGTACTACCATCGACATTTGTAGGAAGTCGCCGATACATGGATCAACTTTACTTCGATGGTATGGCAATTTGCGGTTTTGTTGGCTTTCCTGATTTCTTTATCACATTCACTTGCAATCCCAACTGGCCTGAGATTCAGAGAGTACTTGAACCATTAAACTTGAAGCCACATGATCGTCCTGATATTCTTGCAAGGGTCTTTAGGATCAAGTTTGAAGAGTTATTAACAGATTTAAGGAAAAGACATATATTCGGGAAAGTTCTTGCATGTAAGTTTTAAATATGGATACATTACATATTTCTTATTCACACTACACATTTACTGTTGCAATTCATTTATTCTAAAATTATAATTTGCTAATTTATTTCCAGATATGTATACAATCGAGTTCCAAAAAAGAGGACTGCCGCATGGTCATATACTCATTTTTTTGCATCCTTCGAACAAGTACCCAACTGCCGATGATATTGATAGGATTATCTCAGCAGAGATACCTGATCAAGAGTCTGAGAAAGAATTATACAACTTGGTTAAAACTCACATGATTCATGGTCCATGTGGTTCAGCGAACCCTTCTTCGCCATGCATGCAGGATAGGAAATGCAACAAGTATTATCCTAAGCAATTCCAGGCAAGTTTAGTTTTAATTGGTCTGATCAGTTTAAGTGTGATCTTATTTTGTTCTATATATGATCGCTTCCCAAAAGCAATATATATGCATACACACATTTACTTAAGATATATTTGAGATATTACCATTTAAATATTTACAAAAAGATAAATTAAATTCTATCGCCGTAATATTTTCATACATTTGCTAATGAATGATAGATAATTAGATTAAAATATTACGAAGTACTAATTAATAAATGAATGTAGTATTGACTATTCTTCTTGAAAAAAATGTGACTTTTATATGGTCACTACTATTAATTTTAAGCATGTAGGTCCCTCATGAAAAATAAATCAAAACTTATACACTATAACACTGTAGACTAATACTACAAACTAAACATCAATTCCTAACTTTAACAACACATACAATTTATACATATATGATAATAAAAAATAACATCACATTTTTTTACTATTATCTGTTAAACTTACTCTATCAAAGTAATGACATTAGTGGTGCTTAGAAGTATTAAGTTAAGATTATTCTCATTACTTTTAAATAGAAATACATAACATTTACAATGTTTCAGGAATTCACGACACTTGACGAAGATGGTTATCCTATCTATAGGAGAAGACAAAATGGAAGGGAAATAGAAAAATCTGATATTATCTTAGACAATCGTCATGTAGTGCCTTATAATCCAAAATTGCTGTTAAAGTACCAAGCCCATATCAACATGGAATGGTGTAATCAAAGCACTTCGATCAAATACTTATTCAAATATATCAACAAAGGATATGATCGGATTACAGCAGTTATTGTTCCAACACGCGATGATGAGTCTCCACAAAATGAGAATATTGATGAGATCAAGCAATATCTTGATTGTAGGTATGTCTCACCTTGTGAGGCCTGTTGGAGGATTTTTTCTTTTCCGATTCATGGTAGGTCTCCAGCAGTTGAAAGGCTTTTCTTTCACCTTCCCAATGAGCAGTCTGTGTTCTTTAGTGACAATGACAACCTGGATTCGGTTCTAACAAAAACAACTGTTAAAGAATCAATGTTTACATCTTGGATGCAAGCAAACAAAATCTATCCTGAAGGAAAAGATTTGACCTATGCAAAATTCGTTTCACGATTTGCGTATGTAGCTAGCAAGAGGTGCTGGAAACCGAGAACAAAGGGTTACACTATTGGTAGACTCATTTGGGTACCTCCAACCACAGGTGAATTATTCTATTTAAGAATGATGCTCACTGTAATAAAGGGGCCATGTTGTTATGAGGATATTAGGACAGTTGCCAACATTCAATATCCAACCTTTAGAGAAGCATGTTTTGCGGCAGGATTGCTTGGGGATGATAAAGAATATATTGCAGCATTAAAAGAAGTTAAGGACTGGGCATCAGGGCACTACTTGAGAAAATTGTTTGTAACTCTGCTCTTATCGTGTCCCGTAAGCAGACCTGAGCATGTATGGGAACAAACTTGGCAGTGGTTGGCAGATGGAATTTTGTATCAACAACGAAGACTCTCAAATATCCAAGGTAGACCACCGATCAATTAAAAATTAAATTTTCACTAATCATTTGTAAAATGACAAGTTCTTCATGAGGCCTACCCTACCGAAAAAAATATAAGATTTGTGAGTAAAAGTGTTACACTAAATTCCATTCACTTTATATTTGAATTCGAATAGAGAACACAAAGTATATATGATTACTTTAGCAGATATGTGATACTCTTTCTAAATTCCCACTAATTATATAAGTATAAAAATTAGTAATTTATAAAATTAACTATTTCCTATTACCATAAATTTACGTCATTTCTAGATTACTTCAATCATCTTTTCTTATCTTAAGTATTAAAATAATTTCAAGTATCAAGTAACATATAATTTATTTCACCTATCAAGTAACATATAATTTGTCATTCATTTGGATAAAGGAATATATTCAAATAAAAATATTTCATAATTTTAATTGTCTGCATGTCCCGTTGTCATTCATTTGCATCACTGTGACAAATTAAACTATTTACAATAAAAACATAATGAAAGTAGACACATACACATGAACATCTTCTTCTAATTACTAATTTAATTGTGTTTATTACATTTGTAGATTTACAGTTAAGTGATCAAGAGTTGCAAAATTTAACTCTTCTGGAGATTGAGAAGTTGATGCAAAAAAAGAGAAAAAGTCTAAAAGACTATCCCTCAATACCATATCCAAATGGATATATCACGGAACAACTAGGAAATAGGCTTATTTATGCAGAACGTGATTATGATACATCCAAGTTGCGTGAGGAGTTCCAAACTTTGTATGCTTCTCTTACAGGTAAGATAAATGCAATTCATATTATTTATAAGTCACATTAAATGAATTTGACTGTCAAAAAGAAAAATGATTTCATGCATATATTTTGATGCTAATATTGCAGATGAACAAAAAGGCATATTTGACACAATAATGGAAGCTGTGACTAACCAAAAAGGCGGGGTATACTTTTTATATGGTTATGGTGGTACAGGGAAAACCTTTATGTGGAGGACATTAGCTTCTGCCTTACGTTCTCAGCGTCATATTGTTTTAACTGTTGCATCCAGTGGTATTGCTTCTCTACTCTTA